CCACCAGGTCCAGGCCTTGAACCATAGTCGACCATGTGGGAGTCCAGCATTCCCAACTACCTGGCCCCAAGCAGTTGTATAAATGAATATAAGTGAAGTAATATAAGTGAAAGCTCTAAAAATCAGATTCCCTAATCTCCTGAGATGTGTTATTTGCTCAGTGACTTTGCTGGACTGATTCTGTAAAGTTTACATATTTTTGGCATGTGTAGTCATATGAAAGCCCTGCTCAGTTAGCTCAGTGGTCACCAGTACCAGGGCAGAGACGTTCTCAAATGACTTGAGCAAGTCAGTCTCCCACTCTCTGCAAAGGAGTTCTGTGCATGTGCTGGGGCATTCGTTCAAAAGGCGTTGGCAGTTTACAACTCTGTTTTGGACTTTATTTTCTGCTTGTGTAGGGCCAGCCACAGGTAAGAATTAGGTCCTCAGGTCATTCTGCCTAGAAGCATGGTCTTCTCCAGCACGAGGAAAATATCAAAGCCCCTTATAGACATCTCATTCCCAAGATTTTCTTTTTAAGTTTCTTAGAACTTGTTCACCCCACTGGTATCACTGCCTCAGGCAGCTGCAATATTAAACAACTGCTGCTCATGGATTTCAACTGGCACCCAAGGCTGGTGCTCTTACCAGTAAGTGAGCTGAGTAAGGTCAAATAATGACATGCCCTACAAATAAGGCCTTACCAGGGAGCATCTGGACAGGTTAAATCATGACAATTCTCTGGGGCTGGGGCTTTTAGAGGAACACTAAACCTGTCTGTCATCCTCTACTCTTAAGAGACTGGATTTGAAAGGTACCACTGAGATAGGGAGAGGAGCTTGGCATAGAGTAAGGTAAAAGAAAGCTCATTATTTTTTACTGGGATTCAGTCAATTCTCTTAAATAAACACTCTTAAAAATTATTTGATAGTGGGCCAGTAGGTGATGTGGAGGTTAAGGTGCTGCACTCCACATGGCCAACTTGGGTTCGGTCCTGGACCCAGAGGCTTGAAAATTACGCCAGACATGTGTGTGTGCGTGTTCAAAATCCCCAAAGAAGTCTGGAGGAGAGGAGATTATGGCACAGCCAACCTCCCCGAGAGGTGATTTCTCACTTTGTCTCTCTCTGGCCAGCACACACACCATAGAGCAAACTAAAAAAGGAAAAAAAAAAATTATTTGATACTTTTGGTTAATTTGTAGAGTTCTAAAAATGTTGATTTTAATGAGTTTTGCGAGTGTCTACATTATTTTTATAGAGGAATAGACTCCTAGAGGCTCTTACTCTGCCACTCTAAAAGTCCTTCTCAGTATGAATTTATTACATATTGTGTTATAAAAAAATAGGGCAGAATGATCAATGAAAGACTTTTAAGGGCCAGTCCTATGGCTGGTGGTTAAGGAAGCCAGATCCCACATGGCCAACTGTGCAGTTCAAGTCCTAGACCCAGTAGCTTGAAAAACACATCAGGCATGTAGGCATGTGTGCCCTGAATCCTGATGGGATAGAGAAATTAAAGAAAAGGGAGTGTAGAATGACCACATCCACTTGGAAGGTGCTTTCTCCACCTCCTCTTATCTGTCACTCTCTGGGAAATGTACACACCCTCTGGCTAATGTTTTTTAAAAAGAATTTCATATAATATGATACCCATCTCCCATCTTACAATCAAATTCTGAGTAAAAATTGGATAGAAATAAAGACAAAATGTAAAATTTCTATTATTGTTTAAGCAGATGATAATGGTTACCAAGTTACTATAATTTGGATTCTGTGTGACTACATGTAAATGAATATACACATCTATTTAAAACCTTTTAAAAACAGGATGTGACAACTTAAAATGTACAAGACTAGCTGTTTTTTCTAATTCTTTTGGAGGGTACACAAGCAAAAAGTTTAATTGCCACCTTCAGATTGGCATTCTAAACAATGGACTCTGATCATGTCAGACATGTACTCAGAAACCTTGGAAACTCATGAACTAAAGTCCCAAGTTCTTCTTACATTCAAGGAGCTCTGTACTTAGGCCCTAGCCTGGCTTTTCTGCCTGACTGCACACCAGGCCATGTGCAAAATCTCTGCTTCAGCCATAACCCTCCCTGTGGCTACAACCAGATGAAAAGGGGAAAGGAGAGGACACATAGACTAACTGCAGCCCGCTGGGGTACCACACCACACCTCAAATTCACTGGGTGTTTGAGAATCATTTCTTGATTAACTGGAGAGCATATTTTTAAATGATAAAGATTTTAATATAAAATCTAGAATAGTTTTGAGACTTTTTCTCTAGTAAAAATTAAAATAAGACCTCAAGTCCTATACATAAAGGAAAGGCAGTACTTAAGAAATATTCTGTCAACTTGCTTTAATTAGGGTAAGAGCTACAATATTAACACTTGAGTAACTCTGATGTAGTTTGACCCCCCTTACGTTATTTTAATCTAAGACTGTTCCAAAGTGGTAGCAAATTGAGTACAGAGTGATTGCATTCGGCTAGATATGTTTTTATACTTAGAGTAGGGTTTAAACACAAGGCTTTTACTCAAGCAAACTACTGTCTCCAAATAAACCTGGAAACTTCACAAGCCAACCCCCCCTCCCTCCACACACACACACACACACACACACACACACACGACCAGCTCTTCAACTCTATCTAACAGCTTGGGTTTTTAACATTCTCTCAAATACATGCAGTCTATTCTCCTAGACTCAATCTTTTCTAACTTTTAGTTTGAGCCTGCACGTCTCCTTAGCCTTTAATTCAAAATACAAAACTACAAGCTTCTATTATACCTGTTTTTTCATCTTTATTCTCCAACACTCTGATATCAATAAGAAACCACATCAATGATTCCTATAAAACAGAAAATTCTTTTTTTCCTTGTCTAACAGAAAGAACATCACAATGAATATGATTTCGTAGTTCTTCCTGAATGTTTCTTAAAAATAACAATGCTCCACAGAATTGAAATAGGCCAATCCTTTGGTTTAGATTCTGCACATACTTCTTAAACACACAGAGGTTCCTTCAGTGACAGGCCAAGGCCACTCAGCTAGTAAGTGGCCTCCGTCTTCCATTCCCATCCATACAATATAGATCAATAAAGAGCAGAGAGCCAGCTTATATGGGCAGGCAGTGACCAATAGCATTGTGTAACCAGATCATAATATGGAGACCAGTAATTTAGAATAATGTCTTACTCAAAATGGTCACTACTCATATTAATCCTCAGACTTAATTAAAAACTAGGTATAAGGTAAAACTAAGTTAAAGCAACAAGTGCTTAAATCCAATTACAGTATAAAGGTTTCCTGGCCTGATCTTTGCACTCCTTAAAAACAGACAGAGTAAATCCTCTCTAGTTAACAGAACTGTTAAACTCAAAACAGGAGGGAGAGGGATATTAGGTGTCATAAGCAAAGGCTTAGTGGATGAGAATAAAGCAACTTTCCTTGAAAAAAAAAAAAAAAAAAAAAAAAGAGCACCACACACCATTCTATCAGTATGGAGAACAATGAATTATCAAATTCAGCAGCAGAAAAAAGCACTAATACTGACAAACACTTTAGCCTGCTTTGTCTGCATCCTGTTTAGGTCAACGGACTAATATTAACATACCAACTCCCAAAATGATTTGAAGGTTACAGTACTTAAGATAGTAAAATTCAGCACAGTGGAGCTAAATTCATTTCCCTACCCTATCCATACCCTAACCAAAACTTCACACTTGATGCCTTTTCTGCCTTGCTGAACTCCCTGAAATATACACTCTTTGTGTCCCCCTGTCTTCCTTTCAAAACACCCAGTAAAATAATTTCCAGTGATCACCCTGGCAGTCATTCTGCTGGGATCTGGGGAGAAAAGACAAAGATTTTTGCCTGGGGCCACACTCTTCAGCCTAGTTCTGAAATACTGCATCAGCAACCAACAAGCAAGTTACAGAATCTGCAGCAACAAGGAAAGACTTGTCAAAGGGGAGGGCATGTCTAAGTCTTACACATACTTGGTAAAAATGGAAGCAAGATCCAAGAACTGGGCATGAGTATGTCTTGGCCTAGCAGCTCACCACACATACACTCTCAAAGCAGACTGCTTAGATATGATCTGTTCACTTGTATTTTATAAAATTTTCTCAGAAAAACTAAGGAAACTCAAAGTTATAGACTCTTATTGACATTTTAAGCTGCTGATATCATTATAAGTAGACACTTTTTTTAATGACTAACTTTTTATGGAACACAGACATAATTTTGTAGTATGGCCAGTCCTGAAGTCTCAAAACTGATGGTTTAAAAACTAGAGGGGAAAAAATAATATACCACCTGTAAAAGAGTACAAAAAAAAATCTAGAAATGTCTTTGTGCCATGAGAATCTGCTATACTCATTGTAAGTACATTAAAAAATGTAATATATAAAACATAAATGTAATTATAAGTGAATTCTAAATTTATTTTTCAAATTCATCAGGAGAAAAAATATTTCAAAATAACTCTTTAAAGTCTTCCAGGTCACCTTTACACCACATATCTCATGAAACATTTTTTAAAATAAGTTATGAAGAAAACTGATATATTCCAAAGTTAAAAATTTCAACTCTGAATCTCTCAAGGATGAAATTTACAAACTGTTTTTTAATCAATTTAATCCCAAAAAATACAATGAATGATTCCATACATATACACAATGATATGCATACATACATTGACATGCAGGGGCTTCAAAAAGTTCATGGAAAAAATAAAATTAAAGTACAAGTCTATTTTGGTGCAGAAACCTTGTGAAATCCTTGGATAGTTTTTTTTATAATATACATTTTCTGTTGTCTTTTTGAATACATACACACACACACACACACACACACACACAATAAATTTCTCATGCCCATAGAAACTGTTTTGATAAAATCCACAATATATATTGGGTTGTCTGGAAAGTTGTGATACATTTTTGCACAGAAAAACATAAAAATACGTCATGACTTTCCTGACAATTTAAGAGATTGATAAACTCACCATTTTATAACCTATTTCTAAATTCAAAATGTAAAAGGCCAGTAAGGAAACAAATGAAACTACTTCAACATTGGGAAGCACGTTCAGAACACCACTTGGTCTGCACTCTATGGACCCTGGAACCAGGTAAGTAGCAGAAGACAGAAAAGCCTGAAGTGGATCCAGACACAAGCTAGGTGAGGCATAATTACTAACCAGGCACACAAGATAAAGCACGCAGTACTCAGATTAACAGAAAGGCTGTTAATCCAGATAGTTAAAATCAAAGTGGACTATTCAGTTACAGTGAAACCAGGAGAGCTGGGGGCGGAATGATTCATAGATGACAACAAAGCAATCCCAAAGCTACCTGCTTTTAGATTGGTGAAAGAACCCTCCTCAAGGCTCCAGCTGGTACTGTTCTTCCCCACTGGCGGGTCAGAAAGGCTTTCTGCACTGTCTCCAGAAGGTCTCACTCAAGGAAATGAACTTGCCTTGAAAGCAGTTGGCCAAGGAACACTGCAGACTATCTGGGGAAAGCCTCACAGGAAAAATTCCCAGATCCAAACTTGCAGAGAAATGGGTTTCCCCAAAAACACAGAGTACGGACTGTGGAAGATCAGCATTCACCGCAAACTCCCTGGGAAGAAGCGATCCAAGAACTGGGCATGAGTATGTCTTGGCCTAGCAGCTCACCACACATACACTCTCAAAGCAGACTGCTTAGATATGATCTGTTCACTTGTATTTTATAAAATTTTCTCAGAAAAACTAAGGAAACTCAAAGTTATAGACTCTTATTGACATTTTAAGCTGCTGATATCATTATAAGTAGACACTTTTTTTAATGACTAACTTTTTATGGAACACAGACATAATTTTGTAGTATGGCCAGTCCTGAAGTCTCAAAACTGATGGTTTAAAAACTAGAGGGGAAAAAATAATATACCACCTGTAAAAGAGTACAAAAAAAATCTAGAAATGTCTTTGTGCCATGAGAATCTGCTATACTCATTGTAAGTACATTAAAAAATGTCATATATAAAACATAAATGTAATTATAAGTGAATTCTAAATTTATTTTTCAAATTCATCAGGAGAAAAAATATTTCAAAATAACTCTTTAAAGTCTTCCAGGTCACCTTTACACCACATATCTCATGAAACATTTTTTAAAATAAGTTATGAAGAAAACTGATATATTCCAAAGTTAAAAATTTCAACTCTGAATCTCTCAAGGATGAAATTTACAAACTGTTTTTTAATCAATTTAATCCCAAAAAATACAATGAATGATTCCATACATATACACAATGATATGCATACATACATTGACATGCAGGGGCTTCAAAAAGTTCATGGAAAAAATAAAATTAAAGTACAAGTCTATTTTGGTGCAGAAACCTTGTGAAATCGTTGGATAGTTTTTTTTATAATATACATTTTCTGTTGTCTTTTTGAATACATACACACACACACACACACACACACACACAATAAATATCTCATGCCCATAGAAACTGTTTTGATAAAATCCACAATATATATTGGGTTGTCTGGAAAGTTGTGATACATTTTTGCACAGAAAAACATAAAAATACGTCATGACTTTCCTGACAATTTAAGAGATTGATAAACTCACCATTTTATAACCTATTTCTAAATTCAAAATGTAAAAGGCCAGTAAGGAAACAAATGAAACTACTTCAACATTGGGAAGCACGTTCAGAACACCACTTGGTCTGCACTCTATGGACCCTGGAACCAGGTAAGTAGCAGAAGACAGAAAAGCCTGAAGTGGATCCAGACACAAGCTAGGTGAGGCATAATTACTAACCAGGCACACAAGATAAAGCACGCAGTACTCAGATTAACAGAAAGGCTGTTAATCCAGATAGTTAAAATCAAAGTGGACTATTCAGTTACAGTGAAACCAGGAGAGCTGGGGGCGGAATGATTCATAGATGACAACAAAGCAATCCCAAAGCTACCTGCTTTTAGATTGGTGAAAGAACCCTCCTCAAGGCTCCAGCTGGTACTGTTCTTCCCCACTGGCGGGTCAGAAAGGCTTTCTGCACTGTCTCCAGAAGGTCTCACTCAAGGAAATGAACTTGCCTTGAAAGCAGTTGGCCAAGGAACACTGCAGACTATCTGGGGAAAGCCTCACAGGAAAAATTCCCAGATCCAAACTTGCAGAGAAATGGGTTTCCCCAAAAACACAGAGTACGGACTGTGGAAGATCAGCATTCACCGCAAACTCCCTGGGAAGAAGCGAAGGTCTGTTCTAGGTTCTTCCAACAATCAAGAGCACACATTCATCACTAGCCGAGAAGCAGAACTCTACCACATCACAAACTGAGAACCAAAAATCCTTCTAGAAAACACAAAAACCTTGAATCATGGCACAACTATGTGCTTTTTCAAACAACTCTACAGTTTGCAAAGCATCTGTGATAAACAATATCACATTAACCTCACTTTCATGAGAAAGGTTCAGTGCAGAGCCAGTTCTGCAGTTATGACCCATGTCTCCCAAATCACACACTCCTTGGAACAGGCAGTGAGTTTGGGCACTTTTTCCAAATCACAGATGTTTGAGAAGTCACAGGGCTGCCTGGATCAGCATGATCCAGTTATGCGAATAAACCCTTGGTCCAGTCAAGTGCTATGTTTTCCCTTTTCTTTATTAACATACATCTGTAATTTCACTTCGAGTGTATGAGAAAAATGAGAAAAATTAGTACTTTCTTATCACTCAGAATTTAACTTTATCATCAGCTCATTATGGACAATTTGGTCAAGTTGTAGCTTGGTTCAAGTTGTAGCTTGGCTCCTAAGAAAAAGATAACAAGTAAATAATGGACTTTTATCTACAAGTTTCCAAATCCTTCTGATCTGGAATAAAAACTGCAAGGGGTTTCAGAAATGTGCAAAAAGAGACAGGTGCTGAGCACTCGAAGTTCAGCTGCAGACTTGTACAGAGGGTCAGGGAGAGAGTGAGGGAGGGCTGCAGAAATTGCAGCCAATTCTGTGAAATAGAGCTTCCCAAATTAAAAACAAAAAATAAACAGAACCTTATGTTATTGTGCATTGGTATCTCCACATATTCGGAGACACAAGCCTTACACCATGTCCAAACTACTTCATGGCTAAGTAAATAATCACACAACTTTCCTACTTGGCCTTACCCTCATTGAGGTCCTATCTTTAGATCATACAAAGTTGTAACCAACAAGGACCATCTTACATGAGACTGGAAGATAATAAACTGGGAAAATGTTAAGTATCCTGAATATGTAAAGACTTTGCACAAATGAACAAGAACACAAACACCCTATTATAAAGTGGACAAAAATCACAAGCAGGAAAGGAGGGGCTGGAAGGTGGTGTGGTGGTTAAGGCGCTGGACTCCAACATGGTCGATTGCGGTTTGAGTCCCAGACCACGTAGCTTGCATATGCGTGTGTGCCCAAAATCACGAGAGGAGAAGCGACTGCAGCACTGTCACCCACTAGGGGTGATATCTCTTTCTCTCTCTCTGGCGAGTACACATACCCTTGGCAAAAAACTAAAAAACGAAACAAAACAAAAACAACAACAAAAAATACATAGCAGGAAAAAAATGCAAATGACTGGCATACATATAAAAAGATATTCATTCACTAGCAATCCAACAAATGCAAATTTAAGAAAATTAAACGTGATGTTTCATGTTCTGACTGACAAAGACAAAAATAATTTCCAAAATTCAACATTAGGGAGTATGAGGAAACGAGCACTCCATGCACTGCAGTATTAGTGTAAATAGAGAGTGGTTTGCACAAGTATATCAAACCAGTAATCTCATTTGAGAACTTTACCCTAAAGATGATAGTCACTGGGCCAGCAGGTAGTGTGGTGGTTAAGATGCTAAACTCCCACATGGCCGACTGTGGTTCGAAAACCAGGAGACTTGCTTTCTCATTTTCCTTCTCTCTTTCTCTCTGAGGAATTAAAAAACAATAAATAAAATTAAATAATTCTTTTAAAAATGAAGAAGACAGTTACATCCTACTTATACACTCTGATCCATTAAGAACAGAAAATGCAAATCCAAATGCTCACAATTTCCAAAATGCCATGAACAGGAAGTCCTTCTGCCATCAGGAAAAAAATATCAGACCAAAGTACACATACAATGTGTGAGTAAAGAGCATCCTTGGTCAAGCGTTTTCTTCTTTTATAAATATAACTTAGTTCAAGGCCTTTCATTAATTTTTTTAAAGGTTTCTGCCATAGGCTGTGTGTGCTCACCAGACAGACAGTGAGAGGAAAAGTGAAAAATCACACTCCACCCCCCAGAAGTCAGGGGTGCATGCCACAATCCCTTCTCCTCCATCCTCCTCTCAGGATTTTTCAGCACACATGCACATGCATGATTTTCAAGGTGCTGGGTCTAGGATTCAAACAAGGTGGGCCATGTGGGAGTCCAGCACCTTTAACCATCACACCACCTGCTGGCCCCAGCATGAAGTCTTTTAAAAGTAATTTAAATGTCTCTATTTCATCCTAAGTTAAGTCCTCTACTTTAAAAACCTGCATAAGGTTTCGTTGTTTGTATACATGTGTATGGGTCAAGACTGATCCAGCCTCAACTAGGATCCAACCAGTGGTGTGAGGGCAGGCCACACTTCCCCACACCTAAGCACACCTTCTCTGCTAAAAAGCAAGAAGGCCATTTCTGAAGCTTGGTGTCTTTGTCCTCAAATTAGACTACATGGTGTCATACCTGGCTCCTAGTAAACACTCAGGAGGGGGAGTTATGGTATTTTTGTTGTTCCTGTCACTAGGAATGGCTGCTACTTCTTTCCATGGGTTGTATGGTTTCTGCAGCAACAACTCACCAATCCCCAGGAATCGCACCCAATTCACTTCTGAACTGCAGCACATCATCTTCACTTTCAAAACCAAATGTCTACACTAAACCAAGGCTGAAGTTACTGCAGGGTATAAGCACTGCCCAGTAAGAACAGATTGGAGAAGCTGGAAACCATTTGGAAAGTTCTTAGAGTTGCCCTGTGTGTTACATATGCACAATTCTGCCTCTGCCTCTGAAAGGCACTTGCTTTTTCTCAATGGCTGGCACTCTCCCTGGCTTTGGCAGCACTGCTCTGGGTTCTCCATGTCTCTTCACTAACACCCCCTGCCAACCTCTCAGGTTACAGACTGCAGCACCTGCTGCCAATCAAAAATAGCCGAACTTGATTCTGTACATTCCCCAGTTTCCACTTCTGCCCCAACACTGAGCTATGTCAGGCATAACAAATTGTGTGTTATTTTAGTAAGTTGTGTTATACTACAGTTCTACTAAACACCATACTGAAACAACCATCATGTTCAGGAGTGCTCGTTTGGAAAACTAAGTCAGAGCTTGTGATTCTGTTTCAATGTTAGTGTCAAAAGACTCTCCTGAGATGCTTTTATAACTTGAAGGGACATGATCTAAAGTATAATCAAACTCATGCTTACCCCTAGGGAAAAATATACATTTTAAAATATGGCAAATAGCTCCCTAATTTACATGAGACATTTGAGATCCTGCTGACTTTTGCCTAAATTCATCCTCTTGATCAGCTTTATAAAAGCATATACCTTAATATTCTATTTCTAATGAATTCCAATAAGGTGAAATAAATAGCCTGAATTATGACAACTGAATCTTTTTTTTTTTTTTTGGCTATGCTATCTGACTATCTGTAATTGCTCTGCCGGGGGTAGATTGGACTGGCAATATATTTTAAAGGCAAACAGAATATGTCGCTGTGGCACAGAAGCTTTTTAAGGTTTATTTTATTCATGATAAAGAGTGCATGCACGAGAGAGAGAGAGAACTCAGTTGTCATAAATCCCCTCCCACAGAGCAACCACAGAAGAAAACTGGCTTTTACTACCAGAGGAGTGTCCACATACACTAAATGGACGATCACAAAACCATAGTACTTCCCATTTGTTCTGCAAAGGGTCCATCTATCTTTCCAAAAATTTATGTATTTTTCTATAAGTGACCTTTTCTCCCCTCTGTAACCCCCAAATTCTAATCACCCCTATAAGTCACACCTTTCTGTGATTAAATTTGTCTTTTCTCTTTCTAATCTCATCAATTTAATGTGTAGATCTTCAATTACACAATGTAAAAAAGATAAATAGTTCCCTTTTCCAAACTATGAAATACACTGTATTATGAGTATAGATGAGAACCATACTTTCTTATTGAACGCAGTCTAAGCAATTATATGACTATCATTTAACATTTCCTCTTAAAAGCTCCCCTTTCCACGCTTTTTAAACTTCTTAAAATTTCCCTTGCTTCTCTTAGAGTATTTTCAAGTATTATCCTCATAAGTATAATTTAATAGAAATAATGTTTTCCATTTCTACTTTTGATAAATCAGAATATACAACTTTTTAGTATTAGAAATACTACTTACTTTTTGCTGGTTTATAAAAAAACTCTCAAGTACAATCAAAATACAATCGCCTGTTGATTAAATAAAAGCAAATTGCTATTTTGCCAACCACTAAGAACTGGAAGCTTTCTGAAATGTACAAAATTAAAACACTTGCACATATAAAGTCATTTTGTACAAAACAATATCTCCCCTCACCAGAGTTTATTGCTTTAAAACTGTTAAGATGATAAAAATAAAATGACAAGCCAAAATAATTAGTCCAACTTGGCACAGGGATATATACTTTCCACCAGGATAAACCACCCCCCTCCCTCTCCTCTCTGCTGAGATGGTCCCAACCCTTTCACCTTTGGCATTTAATTCTCTGAGGTAACCTCAATTAGCAAACCGCCTACAGCTTGGAAGGCATGGGGTACTAGTGCCCCTGAACAGCAGCCTCAGGTGCTGTGACACTGTTACCCTGCTGGACAGAAACACAACATGTCTGTGCCCACTGCTTCACTGAGAAATCACAACTGAGGTTCCATGGCATGTTCCACCTCCAGTCCCTGACTACCTGTATCAAAAGATACCTGTTCTGTTAATATACAGTAACTTTACAAGCTTGTTAATAGCCTATAATTATCCCCTTCTGCAGACTCAGCTGACCAAGCCCCTGCTCACAAGCCTCAGTGAATAGACCCCCACTGGCTATAAAACGCTCAGATTTGACTGTCCACCCTGCCCTACCCCAGTTGGCATGCCCTGCCACAGCACCTCACACCAGCCACATCAAACCCCTGGGAGCAACTAGAATTCACAGCCCTTTCCCAACTCTCTGCTTCAAACATCCTTCCTCTGATTTCAGAACTGCTTCTCTTCCTGCAAGACTCAGCTCAAATGCCTCTCATCCAGGAAACCAACCTTGTTTCCACTGTGCACCACGGCACATCATTGTGGCTTCTGGTGTTTACATGATTTTCTTTTCACCAGCTTCACCAGGAGGCCTTAGGGGTGTGGATTCTGATGTCTCAAGTGAAATTGAACATTATACTTCTAGGCTCTTTCAAGTCGCACTTACCACCTGTACTACATGTTCAGCAAAAGAATGAATGCATAAACTAAGCAAATAAATAAGGCAATGATAAAACAGAATGACAAACCAAAATAAAACTAGTCCAACCCAGCATAGAGACATATACTTTCTATCAAGGTACAGGAACCCTCTCCCTCTAATGAAAATCCTTTCTGTTTAAAGTCCCAAGTATCCAGAGAAGGATGGATCTTTTATTAATTCTCAGCAACACTAGCCCCTGGCTGATGCCCAAAGAATGCCATGGGCTCTTCATCTCCTTTCAATTACTCATAAACTCCACATACCATTTCACTTCTCCATCTTGAAATCCAATCCCTATATTTAATCCATTAATTTAACACCTCATATGTTGTTACAGTTTGAATGTGTCTCCCAAAGTTCATGTGTTTGAAACTTAATCCCCAGTGGAACTGTGTCAAGAGTGGGGCCTAATAAGAGGTGATTAGGTCATGTAAACTTTGCCCCAATAAATGGATTTATGTTGTTATTGCAGATGTAGGTTAGTGGTCTTGTTAGAAAAGTGAGTTCGGCTCCCTCTTGCTTTCATTCTCACCTAATCTTGCCCTTCCATCTTCCACCATAGGATGATAAAGCAACACAGAGAATCTCAGTAGATACCAGCGTCATATCCAGGACTTTCCGACCTCCAGGACTTTGAGTCAAATAAATTTCTGTTCATTATAACTTACCCAGTCTGTTGCATTCTGTTACAGCAGCACAAGAAGGACTGAAAGACTAGGCACACACAATGGTACTGGCACTTTATTTCAGAGCTGCCCTAGTTCAGTGAATAATAACTTTCCTGCATTTATTTCTGTATAACAAAGAAATAACCATTTTCACACTTTGCTTCTTCTTCATTTCTGATTTATTTTGGTTTTTGTTTGGCTAATCATCTGATTTTCCAAATAAACTATGTTCAGGGAGAGATGATGGGGGAACAAGAGATCATTCAGAGTCAAGCAGCCCTGGAAAGGGTTAGATAATGACTCAGAAGTAAAATGTGAGACTCTCTGAGGCTGACCTATATGGAAAGGTTTTGGATTCATGTCCTTAGACCTCTCTGAATACACCAGGCAGATACATGACCATGCTTTTTTTCCCTTTTTTTTTTGGGGGGGGGAGGTTTTTGCTATAGGGCGTGTGCACTCGCCAGAGAGACAGAAAGCGAGAAATCAACCCCCCCAGGGGGGATGGCCCGCAACCCCTTCTCCTCCATTCTCTCGGGATCTTGGGCACGCACACACACATGCCCGGCGTGAGTTTTAAGCCACCGGGTCCGGGACGCGAACCACAGTCAGCTACATGGGAGTCCAGCGACAGAGCCATTACACTAACTGCTGGTCCCCATGCCCATGCTTTGAGGCTGGCTCAAGCTAGGAGTCAATCATAGCATCATGGCCCTGTTGGATGTCCAATCTCACTCAGAGGAGATAAATATTTTTGAAAAGTAGTGACTGAATAAAAACCTATATGATGCCATGCCACAGTCCTTTCTACATTAATATTTATAGACCCTTCACCACTATCTTAATGTCTCTCAGTGTCTGTTCTCAACAGCGTAATGACTTAACAAGTTTTAGTAAGGCTGAACAAATCACAAAACTTACAAAGCCGTTGTTGACAGACTAGCATCTGCCAGGCCTTGTCCCAGATCTTTCACTTATATTCTTTTCCTTCAAAAATACCTCGAAAGGTTGAATTTAGAAAGTGAAGGCTAATGAGAACCAGAGAGTGGTGCAGTTGTTAAAAAACAGGATTCTACAAGGCTGACCTACACAGAAAAGTTTCAAGTTCGCGTACAGAAACCTCCCTGAGCATGCCAGGAACATGAATAAGCATGATCCAGGGCTAGCTGAAACTGGAGGTGGATCTTGGCATCAAGACCCTGTTGGGCACTGTCTCTCTTTCATTCATGGAAGAAATAAACTCAAAAATAAAAAAAAAGAAAAAAAAAAAGAAAAGGCTAGAAAATGGAGACTGAAAGATTAAATAACTTGCCACCAAGTCACCTTGCTAGGGCACTGTGGCACCTAGCTTTACACCCAGGTTCTTTCAAATGCAACGCTTTTTAACTAGAACTTGAAAACTTTAGACTTTACTTCATAAGATCAGAATGATGGTGCAGACAGAATTTCAAAGGCCTTGCTTTTATCTTTGCTAACTAGCTCCAGATATCAAAATATCATTCACCATATTTGGTTGAATTCCTGTTAGCCACCAAATTTAGTACTGAAGACCACAGAAGTCACGTTGAAAATAAGTCCAGCAGTGGGATGATCCTAAAGAATGACAACATCTGCTCTAGGCTCTGGATCCAAAGGGAGCCCTCCTGTTTCTGAGACATTCTGAGATAGCAGCAATTTTCTAGCATACCTTTAAACAAGAAGAACCAGGGACTGACAAGGCCATGGGAAAAAGGTATTCTGA